TTTGAGATGACAGTGAGGAGCTCTGTGGACCAACTTTCCAGTGAAACAAGACAAGCTGGCAAAAACTATGAATGTCAAATATTTTAATTCTCTAGAAAGTATACTGAAAACATACAGAATATGACGAAACATTTTCCAAGAAAATCTACTAAAACTCAGAACAGAGACAGCCTATGGCATTTCCATCATAACTTGCTGCCCCCTTCCCCTGCCCCCTCCCCCAGTTCAACTTGAGAGAAACTCATTTGGACCCCTCTCCCCTGGGCGCCCAAACAAGGGCGACTGCATCTCACTGGGAGTCAGACACTGCCAGCGTTTCTCATGCCCTCCAGCTCCAAACTGAAGAGGCTGAATTCCCGGGGAGGGACGCCAAGAAGTGGGGGGTTTCTTTCCCCCAGGGAGGCCCTGCCCAGACGCTGCCCCAGATGTGAGAGCCTGAGAATCCTGGGGCCGCGACCGCTCTCATTCCAGCTTGCTTACAGAGAGGCATCCCATGGCGGGAGGCAGCCAAGCAAGCCCGAGGCCCCCCCTACCCAGCGCGCGGGGCTCAGGGCCTGGCCCGGGTGAGACGTGCTCTGTAAGAACAGGGCTCAGAAGTCTCCCGAAGGACGGAGGCTATTTGAAGCCGAGCTTGGGGAAGGTGAAGCGTAAGGCACTCTCAGAAACAAGGGCTCCTCCTAGGAACAGTAACCTAAGGCACAGGGCGGCCGATTCAGCAGAGACGAGGAGAACCCTCGACGGCTGGAACAAAATCCCAACCTGGTGTCAGAACTCCCGCCGCCTGCAGGTAACCGGAGCAGGCCGCTGGGCAGTGGGCACTCAGAGCTCTGTTAGCCCTGGAGCAGCCAGCGGGGACAGGGGCGAGCCAGGGAGGCAGGGGTGGGACCCAAAGGAGGCCGCGGGAATGGCGAGGTCGGGCAGTGCCACGTCGGAGGGCCTCGCTCAGGGCGGTGTCGCCGAGGGCTGCCAGGCCCAGACTGTGCGTCTGAGCAGACGCAGAGGAAGGCTCAGCCTGTGAAGGGGAAGCAGGCTTCGCGGAACAGCCGAACAAAACACAAATTAAAAGTGCCAGACAAGAAAATGAGCTCAGGAGAAGGGGAAGCGGGCATCGGTTTCCAGAGCTGCTCTGCTGTCGAAAAGGTCCAGCTTCCTGAGCTTCTGAGGTGCAGGGAACATTTGCTCTGAGACCCTGGGACGGGAGCCCGCATACTGTGGGACCCAGGCGCTCCTGTCTGGTCATTCTGCTCAAACCGCTCTGAGCGCCACCAAATCCACTGGCATTTTTACTGCTTATATCGCTTATTTTTAACAGAACTAACTGAACCCCCACCCATACATATATATATGTGCATGGAGGCATACATATATGTACACACTTATGAATAAAGGAAATAAGTTGGTGTGATTCATGTCCACTGTCCTTTATTTCCCAGATTGGGTAAGGCTTTATTTTCCAAGTCATCCTCTGAGAGGAAGGCCACAGAGGGGGGCGCTGTCTGTCTGTGGAGAGCGGTAAACACGTGGATTAGCTAAGCCAGGCGGTGGAGTTCTGGTGACAGACTTTGGTCCTAGACTCCCAGCATTTCTGAGCTGGAAGGCCTGTGAGAGACCGCTCAGCGACAGGGCCTTAAATTCCAATGCAAACAGAAGCTGGCAGGTGACAAGGATGGGGCCAGGCAAGCGAGCACAAGCCAAAAAGACAGGTGTCAGAAATGGGTCCCACCAGCTGGTTTTGTCCCACAGGTGGGCTCTCTCTCTCTCTCTCTCTCTTAACCTGAGACTCTAAGTTTAAAAAATAATAACAATGCTATTACTTTAACTAGTTTTCCTGGGATTTTGGAAGAACTGATTAAGAAAGACACGTTAACGCAAACAAATAATTATACTAAAAAGAATCCAAAATGATGCAGTCAGATTCCTTAAAGCCTAAAGGTATTGAAATGAGAAACCTTGTTTGTTGTTGGGTTTTCTTGACAAGCTTTCCACTCAGGGAAATTGCAGTAATAGCAGAATTGTACCGACTTTGAAATTCAAAGCTCTTCTGAGCTATTTAATGATGCATTCTTCTGTCAAAATAAATTTTAAAACAGTTGAGAAATGTATGAAAACCCAGGTTTAAAAGCACACCCCGAGCTATTCATCTGGCTTTATTTATAGTGGCAAAGATCTCAAGATCCACAAATATTTCATTATGTATTTGACTCAGGCTTATGGGCATAAATAAGAATCTTGCTTTGGGGTGGGGTGGGCCTGGGACGTGGAGACCACTGGATCAGAAGACCCACATTCCCTTTTGTTTGTTTTTAATAAATAATCAGGTTTAAAAAAAAAACACCCTGAGGGCTAATATACTTTTTTTTTCTTCTTCCCAGAATTGCAAATCAGAAAGAAAATAAAATTATACAGCTTGACAGGGGAATGCTATTTAGAAAAATACAAGCACAATTTTCATATCTGACACATTTTGAAAAACTTTTAAGTGTGACTTTCAGGGGCTCTGCCTTCCTGGCTGGTAGTTCCTGTGTGGCGTGCCTGTCATATCTGTGACTGCTTCTAACTGTCTTCACTAAGGCTTCTCATTTCAGCTGTGAAACGAATGCTGTTCCCCCTGGAAATAATGACCCAAACTCACTGTTTGATGTTTGAGAACAAACAGCCATACTGACCCCTGCACGCAACACCCTGAAGGCTTTCCAGGCCTGAGGTTGTCCCTCCATAAAATTCTTAAGTGGGCGCCTTGAATTCAGAAACCTTGGTACATACACTGAGGGACTTAGTTCTAAGACACAGTAAATTCATAAACTGTACTTGTAGTTCAGTAGGATGGGCACCAAATCAATCAAAATTAAATATGAAAAAGTTGGCTCTTCATCTCGATCAGGAAGAAATGAGCTAAAGAAGCAACGGTTCACGTAGAACAGAGTGTTCATGCAGGACAGAGTGCAGAGCAATAAAATATGGGACGACATTGCTACAGGTTCCTCGGATTCTGTTATTATTTGAAAATAGGTTTAGATTTGGAGTAATTTTATGGAACTAAATTTTTAAAAATTAAACTTTAAGTATGATGATATGATGATATTATTGTAAAATAGTTCTCTTTTTTTGCAGAATTTTTTGAAAAGGAATTAAGTACTCTTTCCTGGGCTCTTTTGGCTACTCTGTATGGCTGTTTAGATCAAGAGCTCCCTGTCCTGGTCAGCCAGCTCCACGGCTGACCTTTACTGCTTCTGCAGCTATACCCGCCCCTCAGCAGTGCCCAACTCGGGCCTCTGCTGCTTCTCCCCATCCGAGAAATCTTCCCCAAATCAGAAGAGAAAGGACTTGTAAGTTAAGTGACTACAGGATACTTTTTTGAGAGATTAGAGCTAGTTTTTCAAAGGGATCCTGAAATTGGGGTGAGAATCATGGACAATTTCTCACACTTGTGTCAGTGTCAATGATTGTGAACTATTGTGGGAAAACAAATCTGTTTACCTTTTGTTTGTGCTTAGATTTTCCCCCCTTTTGGAAAGAATAGGAAGAACCTCAAAGACAGGACAAATCAGCTCAACCGCACTGACATCATCTGACACTAGAAACGGACAAAGAATTAAGAAAGGAAGTCGAACAGTTTTAAGTCCAAATTTGAGCCCATTGGGATTGGCGGGGGATGGGAGGAGGGTTTTCTTATATGTAGGAGGGTTCAATGGTCATCTTAAACTTGGCTATAAATCTAGCATTTCTAATTGTAGATCTGCAATCCAGATGCCAAAACTAAAATGTTCAGAGATGACCTCTTTGCCTTTCACTAGACGGGTTTTAGTGCCTTCTTCAAATGGGAGACTTCTTAATACAGGAGTTGCTGGGATTTCTCTCCTTTTACAATTTATAGCTGTGTAATTAGAGATCAGCATCAGCTAATGCCTGCATTTTCCAACTCATCTCAGAACTGAATTCGAAGAGAAGGTTTCACTGTTAAATTACTTGCCACCTAACTCTTCTTGTTTCCCCCAAAGATTTTTAGCCGACAACTAGTATTCTGGTCAAGGGATCAAAAGTCCCCAAAGTAGCAGACTCAATAGCGTTTGCCTAAACCAAGAGATTGAGGGAAGTCGGTTGGGTGGACCTGCTTCCCTTGTGCCGGGGACTCCGCAGTGCAAAGCGTGTACACCTCCCGCCTGTCCGCCGGCTCTGGCTCTGCTCGTTACACATGAAAACTTCTCCGGCCCACGTTCAGCTTCCTTTTTTTAAGTGCTGGCACGCGACTCACCTCCAGGAATAGCTCAGAGCGAATGCTCTCAGTTTAAGTTCAGTCGTGAGAATGACATTTCTCTCCTTTTTGAAAATTTCCTCCCTCAGTCTCTGTAATCACGACCCTGTAAGAGCGGGGTGGTCTCCATTCCCATGGAGTAGAGCCTTGGAGGGCGGATAGGCCGGAGCCTGTTTCACATCTACCACAGGGACTCACATTCCGGCCGTAAGCATTATATTTACCTACAGGAGCATCTCTTCCCTCGAAAAGGAAGGTTTTGTATGTAAAAGTTAACTGCAGTGTGTTACAACTCACGCCTGTTACTTCTTGGCTTGAAAAGGGTTTCAGACAATGACTATAACATATAAAAACGGTGCAGAAATGTTACAGTTTTCATGCTGGGCAATGCCTCCTGGCAGGAGTTCTACACTGTATTGAACTGGATTCTAGAGGGCGCCTGCACGGTCTTTTATTTCTTATCCTACAATTCTGTTTCTGAATCTTTTTCTCAGTCAGTTTGGAAAATATGAACACGGTTTTTCCTTTTCAGATCCTCGATCGCATTAATTAACCTGTTGAAATGAGCCAAATGGGAGTAGACACATGAGCTCCCAGGGCTATTTTGTTAACAGCCCATGCTAACCGGCTGTGTATTTTCCAGAGGAGACTCTCCCAAGCCCGTGTTTAACGAATCAGGACGCTTCTGCCCTGAGCCAAGTCCAGGCGCCCGCTGCCCGGGTTCTCGGCCCACCCCGGGGGTACTCACGGAGGCGCAGGCCGAGCCCTCGGACTTGTCCTCCACGAAGCCCACCTGGCAGGGCGCCCGCCGGTTCTGCAGCCAGTAGTCTGTGGACTCGAGCAGGCTGTCGCTGCGCAGCACCTGGGGGACCGAGAAACCTCCTCAGCGCCCTGCGGCAAGTTTTCTGTTTAGACAAGCGGCTCTTCTCTAAGAAAACTAGGTGCTTTCTTTTCCTCAGAGCCTCTGGATATTAAAAAAACTTGCAGGAAAAGAGCACCCCTAGACTGTGTAAAATATTCACCCCGGAATGGGTGTCCGAGGAACACGTTGATGCTAATACTGATGTGACTTTCTCATCAAATCCAGCACCTGGACACGTCAATGTGTGTGTGACTTTTGCACAACTTGCAGTCAAATGTTTGTTTGGGGGAGAGGTTCAATTGGCAACGGAGATCAACTTTAGTGTAAGTGCTCTCCCTAAATATTTTCAGTTTGAAAACTGTAGTGTTTTTCCTTTCGGTGAAATGTTGCTGCTAAAATGATCATTCTTCAGTTCTTCCGCTTGGGTAACTTACCTGTGAAATAGGGCCCAATTCTTCAGAACACCTATGGTACCCAGTTAAGTTTTAAATGATTAGGAGTACACTGCATTACAGCCAGCATTTTTTCCCTTTAGAAATAATATGGTAATGCAACCCACACTTGAATACGTGGTTTAACAGAACCAAATATGATTTACAAATACCTTATTTCTGGGCTTGGGTCAAAACAAGGAAGAAAAGCTATGTTTCTCAGCCAAAGTATTTTGAAGATGCAACCTCATAAATAATAAAACAATTCCATTTCTTCCATGTCTAAACACTACATAAATATTTTACACAATTTTTCTCATTTTGTGTAAGATTCCCAATGCTCTCCTGGTGCCCTTTACTTTATTAGGATACATGTCTGCTAATATTTGACAAGTTCCTTCACCTAAGCAATAGAACAGATTTAATCAGTTTGGTTAATGCCAGAAAAATAGAATGACACTTCAATTACATTTCATTTGTGCAACAACGGATTGTCATTCTGTAAAGATAAAAAATACATCAGTTTTTGTCTCTGAAGAGTGAGCTAATCAAATATATTTCTGACATACTTTTCTATAACACTTTTTGTTCTAGCCAAGTGATATTATTACCTTTAAATCTTTTCCCACTCAATGTTTATTATTACTCAGCGGTGACAAATTTTCATCATTGTTTCCCAGAACAGTGTAAAGACACACTGTGGACGAGCAGGTTGAGGGGCGAACTTGGCTTGTCGCTGTGGCCCGAAGCTGGCAATTGCACTGCTCAGCTCTCCTACAGATTTCAACTCAACTGTGGTTCTCAAAGTGTGAGTGGGACCCTGAGGGGTCCCTGAAATCTTCCAGGGGGTCCGGTGGCCAGCTGATTTTTACAATAATAGTAAGACGCTCTTTTCCCTTTTCACTCTCAAGGCCTCATGAGTCCTCGGTGGAGTTCTCACCATGGCCTGCGATAGAGCAATGGGATGAAGGCAGAGGCAAACCTCCCTAGCTCGTCTCACTAAAATGTTTTGTTACATAAAATATGCGAGTCCACATGCAATGTGCTTATTTATTGTTCTTTTAAAATAGTTTAAAATAATAAATTGTTATTTTAAATGGTATTATTACTTAAAGTTAAATAATTGAACATAAATAGTTTTTACCTCTAATTTATAATATATATCTGATCATATTAATAATTAAAATAAGTTTCCCCCTTATATTTTATAAATATTTAGAGATTATTATTTAAAACTCATATTCTTTAATTATTGACCAAATAATACTACATTTATTGAGAACACTCTGGAATAATTCAGACAATACACATTATATGAACTAAACCTCTGGACTTATGAGGTAGAATTTAAGGGCTAATATATTTAATGTACTTAAAAGCAGTGCTTGGCACATAGCAAGGGCTCAGTAAACACTGGCTATAGTAGCAATGATTACTCCCTGTGCCCAGGCTTAGAGCGGTTAATGACTGGCCTGCTTAGGGGAGAGCTGGGGTTTGAGCCCAGTCTCTGGCCCCAGGCCCCGTCAGGCAGTGTCCACTGCAATCGGTAAAATTGTGCAATTTCTCCTTCTTGGCTTCCCCCATCCCAGTCTATGCGTTTATCCGTCTCTCCCTCAGGCCTGGTCTGGGGGGCCGGGGGGCTGAGTTCCAGCCCCGATCCTTCTGTCTGTGTAGTAGAGTCGCCTGCGAGCTCCCAGCCTCAGTTCGCCCCTTGTGAGCAATAAATCAAGCCGTGTGCAGGGGCCTCCCACCCCGAGCATCCGCC